TTAGGGTTTAGGGTTTGGGGTGTAATTCCTAAACCCTAAGACCAAGCTTCTCGACCCAACCAGACCGCAGCTTTTACAGAGTCGCTGGAGCCTTTGCCCAGCCCTTTAAAGCGAACCCTAAACCCTAAAACCCGAAAACTCTAAAACCCGAAAGCCCTAAAGCCCTAACCTCTAAGCACAAGGAGCCCGGGGCTCTGCAAGCCGTTCCTTTAGGCCAGCGGGCTCATGCATCGGGGTTTTTGGTGCAGGGGTTCTGGGCTTATAGGGCTTATGGATTAGAGCTAGAACGCTCTGGCTTTAGGGCCGTTTAGGGCTTGTAAGGATTGGAGTTTTGGTTCAGGGCCGTTCAGGGCTTATACGGATTAGAGTTGGGGGGTAAATTTAGGCCGAAGGGCTGGGAGAAACGAGTATAGGGTTTGGGGCCTCCCTTCAGGAGAACGCTACATGACGGCCATGTACTTTGCGATCACGGTGATGTCCACTGTCGGACTGGGAGACATCAACATGAGCCTGTCCAACGAAAGGGCCCTGCTGTGCGTCATCATGGCCACAACCAGCTTGGTCGTAGGTGTCGCCGTGAATGGGGTCGCGACGATCGTGTCCAAGCTCAGCGAAAGAACAGCAGCAAACATGGAACAGCTGGCACAGGTCTCGAAGTTCTTAAAGGTCTACAGAGTTCCTAGGGAGCTGCAGTCGCGGGTTCACGATTACCTACTGCAAGTCTTCGAGAATCGGGAGCGCGAAGAGACCAAGTCCATGCTGATGGGATGGCTGAAGAAGTCAGAAGTGCTTCGGACGAAAGTGAACTTGGCTTTAACAGGAACTTGCTTGGTGCAGCACCGCTGGTTGAAACTACTTCCGCCTGAAGTCCTGGCAAACGTTTGTGACCTCTGTGACACGGAGTTTCATCCTCCTCAGCAAGAGCTCATCGCCGAAGGTGCTATGGTGAAGACCTGTTTTTATATCCGAAGTGGCTTGGTGCAAACCAGCAATCGAGCGGGGGGGCAAGCATGGGCAGCCACCTCCAGCGATGATACCGAGGAGCCTGATGTCAACCTTTGTAGCTTGATGTGTCCTGACGAACTTGAACACGAACCTAAAGTGTGCGATCGTATACGGCTCTAGCATACTATAATCTACAAGAACAGACGATAATATATACCATGAGAATAACAAATAGAAATTGCGCAGGAGAGCGATGAGATCCAGAAGGAAATCGAGGCGGCTGACGCAGCAAGTCCCGATGCGAGGCTGCAAGGTGGGGCCTTCATCGGCGAGTTTCGGCTCTTCTTGGGAGCTGCCCTGTCGCAGAGCAAGTGACCTTTGAACCTTTCCTGTTCGGTGCCATAATCGTGTCATCAGTCAATACTCTGAATATAGTACTATATAGTGAATCCCAAAGGTTCAGATTCAGCTTTAGATCCCATTGGATGCTGGACATTTAAGGTGAGCCGGAGCTTGAAGACGGTTACGTGCATTTCCTTTTGCGAGCTCATCTCCATCGACGTGTCAAAGTTCGAGTCCTTGATGAGCGAAGCGATGCCCGAGCTCTTTGACATACTTGTGATCTATGCTGCAATCGACCACGATTGTCCCAAGGCCATGCTCCACTGCCTGGAGCAGAACGGCATTTCTCCGGAGATGCCCCTGCTCTTCGGTGAGGGTGTGCTTCACCACTGCGCCAAGGTGAACGCCGCGGCTTGCGCGGAGCATCTCATGGGGGACCTTGGCCAAGACGCAGCCCAGGCCCGGGATCAAGATGGCAGGACGCCAGCACAGCTGGCCGCAGCCCTGAAGCACAAGAAGGCCTTCTGGGCAATGATCCAAGGCAGTGGGAGAACCAGGGTAACAGATGTCGACGTGCTACCCAGGGAGGCACGAACGGCTCGTGGCAAGAACAGCCAAGCGATTGCGCTGGCACCCTCGGCATGGACGGATCGAGACCAGGAGCCATACACGATGGCAAGGGTCCAACAGCTCTTTGCTGCCTGCAACCGAAATGGCCTCGCTGCTTCTACAGGAGAGAGCTCCAAGGACATGGAGGATTTGGTGGAAGAGCTGAACACCTGTCAGAGTGATCTTCTTGTCATGAATGTCCGGGGTGGCATGCAACAAACACTACTGCGGCGGTTGAGGTTAGTGAGGCTTCGCTTGCTGGCCGTCATCGACGACAACGTGCATGCATTGGTGGAGCTTAATTCGGACGCATGGTTGAGGGCACGGGATCAGAAGTTAGGGAAGCTCCCCTACCGTCGCATGCACAAGGGCGAGACGGAGGAGGAAGCTACGAAAAAGCTGATGCAAGAGCTGGGCATCTCGGTGTATTTATTCGAAGAGGAGCTCATAGTACCCATCACGAAGTCATGCTATGCCGAGACCAGGACGTCCATGTCGTACCCAGGCTTGGAGACTGAGTCTAGCCTGCACTTTGGGATTCTGTTCCATGCACTACGATCTTACAGAGGTGATTCTCTCTTCATGGCCACTTCGGGGGCCTGCCTACGAACCCTAAACACCCCCAAAAGCCAGGAATACATTGTCTACGAGTCGACATGGAAGGTCCGCGCGCAGGCCTTACACCGGACAGAAGAGATTGGTCTACCGCAACTGGGTTCTTTTGAGGAGCTTAGTTTGACTCGTTCTTGGATATTGCAATGAAAATGTTCCTCAATATCATAAGGGAGTCAAGGGAAACTCATATGACATGTGCTTTTCCAAACATGATGCCTAGGACGGTAACTCGAATCAAAGTTCTGTAAGAATCCAGGAACGGCCGGCCCTTCCAAAAGGAGTTCTGCACTAATGCCTTCCGGGTGGTCACCAGGCGGGACTTTCCGAAAATTAGGGAACCTTACTTTGGGGTCCTTGTAATAAGGATCCTACTATTTAAAATTTAGGGTACTATATTAGGGTCCCTAAACCCTAAACCCCTAAACCCTAAACCCAATGTTCGGAAACCCCCAGGCAGCTCTTGTGGCCAGTCCTCGTCAACTTCACTCTCAACGAAACTGGGTCTTTGCTTCAGACACCTTTTTTTGGGCATCAGCGGGTTTCATTAGGGTCTTTGACATAAGTAGTATGTTTGAGGAAAGATCGTAAGTTACAAGTTCGATGGAGCAGCCTCAGGAAAAGCATGCTGATGAAAGGGGTGGTGAGAACAGCTGGGCTGTGAAGGGGCTCTCTAGAAAACAGGCCCAACAGGACTGAGACTTACTCGTCCCATTACGCCATTTGGTGCTTCAGTCCGTCCAAAGGACGCGGCAGAGAAGCCTATCAGCCCCAGACAGCCCAATACTCCTGAATCAAGGAATGCTACTTTACTTTAAGTCGCAACAGGAGCCTTCCATACTTTAACCCATATGTTCCGTAGCTAAGAGGTATTGGGCTCTGTGGGTCCTGGCTGTAACGCAAGCGATTGCTAGCATCTGTTCAGCTTGAACTTCTGGCCACCGGAACTGGGTGATCTACTTGGAGGTTCATGGGTAGTTTAAAGGGGTTATAAGTAGGGTAACTATACTGTCAAGCCATGTTAGGGGACTTACACAGCCTATGTTTTAACTACCCATGAACCTCCAAGTATGGGAGTGTAGCAGAGTGTGCAGCTTTGCCTTTCACTCAACGGCCCATCCTTTTCTCAGCTAAAGCCGTGTGCAATCGCAGCGCTTTTGCGCATGCTTTTCTCATCTACAGTCTCCCTTCTCGTTAGTTCCTCTTATATCCTAGCCATAGAATTGGTGGGCGAGAACAGGAACTACAATGGAGACTACATTCAGGTCCCAGACTTTCTGCTTTTTATTGCGTTGAAGGTCTTGCTCAGCGGGGGTTCTGAAAGTTCGAGGATCCGGGTCAGAGTGAAGGCCTTCACAGATTGAGGTTTGTAGGGGTTTAGGAGCTCATGGATTAGCTTGTTACAGCTTGTTATGGGGATTTAAACGTTTAAGGGGCTGAGGGTTTGCATGGGGTTTGGGGCCTGGGGAATGAAGGTGATCTCAGATCGCGGAGCCTCGTGGACGAAATCCTGAAACTGCAATGCGCCATCCCCGGTCCGCGCGTCCCAAAGGGGACTGGAGTTTCAGAAGCTGAGCAGGCATCGGTACAGCCTACAGACCCTTGTAGACCATTCCTGGCGTGCGGGCAAAGACAGCAAGAGGTTGCAGTGAGAGTGGGTTCAACCTCTCTCTAAACCGTCTCCGGATTAGTAGTACCAGGTAAGCTAGTGATCCGACCTTCAAGTAGCTGGGCTCTTAGAAGGCGTAAGGCGACAATCGATTAGCAGTTCAGGGTTTGGAGACCTTAAACCTAGGCCCGTACACAAACACGAAAGCCCTAAACCCTGGACCCTTAGACCCTCAACTCTGCTGCCGCCATGGAGGATCTGTGCCCAATCTCGAGTCCTTTCCTAACCCTTCACCCACATGCCGTACACCCTAAACTCTCCTAGAGTGAGAATGTAGTACGTATGCATATGTGTTTAAAAATGTATACGTTCCCACATGTACAAATGCATAAATACATAGATATATTATGTGTAAAAAAACTATATATATATATATAGATATGAGTATATACAGATATACATACACGTATACATATGTGTGTGGAGAGGCCTGAAACTATGCCTTACAGGGTTTCTTGTTATAGTTTATTCGATCCTAGCTAAACCCTAAACCCCAAAAGCTCTAAGCCCCCAAAACTCTAAAACACCCTAATCCCTAAACCCCATGCACTCTGAACCCTAAACCCCAAACCCCAACAACTCTGAACCCTAAACCCTAAACCCCAAACCTCCCCCCTTTCTTTCAAGGCCCCGAGGCCTTAAACCTCATGGGGCCATGGATCCTCCTCGGCTTGAAGGCCCCAAAATCCAGATGCCGTAACTGGGTCCTTGTTGGATACAACTTGACATCTTTATGATAATAAAGCCCTAAGAAGGATTAGAAATGGTCAGTTTTAAGATGGCCCCAACAAGGAACCAGTTGAGAATCCTGAAGCCCTATAAGGTTTCTAAGTAAGCAAGCAGGCGTTGGTTTCGATAAGCGGAGCACCGCATAAAATCTCGAAAAGTCGAACAGTTTTCGGATTCAGTAAAACGAGCGCAGCTAGCAGTAGTCGTTGTAGTATTGTCACTCATCGTGGCAGCAGCTTTCAGCAGAATCGAGTTTCCTGGCAGACTTTGCCGAATGTCAAACCATTTCGGGTTCCGCCCAAGCCACCAATAACTAGCCAAAGCAAGCATGTTTTGCTGAGTTGTCGGATCAGGCGAACTCTTCAAGTGTGATCTTTCAGTGTTACTTGACAAGTTTGGTTTTATCCAACAAACAACCAAAAGTAGCCAACCCATATTAGGAGTTGTTGTTTGCTGTTCAGGTCTTAGGAGCCGCCCAGCTGCTTTATTTTTGCATCTATAGGTCTTGGAAAGCATCCAGAGGTATAGCAGAAAGATACGCAGTTTTCATTGCTCGGTTCTGGGATACTTCTGCTGATTTCCAAGAGGCTTGGGAACCGCAGGCTCGCAAATTCCAGTGATTTGGTAGTATCAACCCCAAAGGAACGGAGCCGTCCGTATATTGGTGTACTTTTCATATTTTTTGGGACCCTAAAGGCCAGTTTCGATGACTGTTGAGCATTTGTGGTTTGATCATTTTGGGCATCGTCGGAACACCTGCAATGACCGAAGCCATAGGCATGTTTGCTTTGACAGCTTTCAGTTTCAATGATTTTTGAGCATCTCGTGGTTCCCACAGCACCAAGCTGGACCTGTCGTTTCGGGTCTGGAGCCACCAAACCAAGTCTCAAGTCTGGCAGAGTTTGAAGCAATGTCGGGCTCATCCAAGAAATATAAGTATCCAAAACATAGATGTTTTTGGCCGAGCTGGGTCTTCGGGTTAGGCGAACTCCTCGGAAGCACTTGTCTCAGTCCTGTTTGACCAGCCTTGTTGAGTGTGGTTATGGATTTTGACGTGTCCGATCGTTTTCGACATTTCGACTTCTTGACGGTTCGACCGGTAGCCTTCCGCTGTACTTTTAGAAACTTTTCGCGGTTTTAGACTTTTCGACTTTTATCTTCTGGCTGCACTTTTGAACGTGTCGCTTATTGCTGTACTTCGACTTTTCGCGAGTTCTCGACTTTTCGAGTTCTCAATTTTGCAGTACTTCTCGACTTTTTGCGCTTTTTCTTGACCTGGTTTCGCCGTTTCGGGTTTTCTGATTTTTCGTGCAAAATCTTTATCCACTGCCACTTTTCGCTGTTCGGCTTTTCGCGTGCCGTTTGGCATTCTCCCTTTATCTGCGCCAACAGCCACTCGCAAACACAGTTAGGGTTTAGGGTTTAGGGCCTAGGCGGTGAAGCCCCAACGTCATAAATCCCCATAGAATCATGACAAAGACCCTTGAAGAAACCCCCAAACGAACCCGATTAGCCTAGTGGCTTCCCAGACCCCTGAAGGCCCGAACAACCCTAAACCCTGAAGCCCAAGACTCTAAATCCTGAAAACCGGGTTGAGGGCCTCCGAGATTATTCTTTAGGGAATGTTGGGTCCAGGGTTTAGGGCGTGTAGGGTTCAGGGAGTTTAGGGTTTAGGGTGGGGATTGAGGAGGGGGAGTGGGGGTTGAAGCATAGGGTTGGTGGTTTTGTTTTGTTATGCTTGGGCCGCGGGGGGGGTGAGGGTTGCTCTTGCAGACCGCCGATAAGCCCCTTAAGCCTTAAACCCTTCTATCTTCATCTCTAGCTCTTGACCCTCCGCAAAGCCAAAAAAGCGAAAGCGGGTTTAGGGTTTTCAGGGGTATAGGATAAGGACAAAGGAGTTTGGGGTTTAGGGCTTAGAGAACTTCTCCGAGGTCGTGCGGCAGCCTTCTTGGGCGAAGCTCCTGCGGCCGTTCTTCTCGTTTCCTTTCGGGAGTCTGGAGACCGACCCCAGGACTCAAGCTCGGACCCTAAAGCCCTCAGCTTCGGCTTGGGGGGGGTCGGGGTAGGCTTGAGGCCCCTAAACCCTAAACCTCAAAC